CATATATTAGTTATAGTATACACTACAGTAGATATCAGCTGTAGTCTACACTTATTAACAAATAATTAAATAAATTTATATATTATGTTTAAAAATTATATATCAAGTTAATAGTAATTAAATATACCAATCTAATTGATATTACTTACAATGTAATTAAAACTGTATAGGTCCATTGGTTTGCCATGTCATCAGTATGCTATAAGTAAGTTAGAAAATTTTACAAATTAAATTACCATAACAATTTATACCACTATAATTAATATTGCTTATTTCACCAAAAAAACAACCAAGTCCATTTATATACTGTTGGCTAAACGAGTCGTTCCGTAAGGGGTCCACAAAATTCTTGCTGATATTATTCAAGTGCAGCACCAAAGCCAAGGCCAGTGGCGGTGGCGGTAATGTTGGGGGCAGTAATGGCGGCACCGGTGCCGGTGGTAACGGCCAGACGGGCGCACACGAGCCGCTCACTAGTCCGGTGACCGGCCACGAGATCATCGGCGACGACAAACTTCAGACTACAGTTACCACACATTTGTCGCCAAAACATAGCGAAGCGAATAATTGTCAAATCGCGTCCGTATGAAACACCCTGTATTGAAACGCCCTGTATATACAGCCTGTGAGTGCCGCTTGTATTTAGTATATCCTATAAACCCCTTACCCTCATACTCTCATACCAGGGTTAGTTTGTCGCTAACTATGTTTACATATGATATATAATTTATATACATGTTTACATACAGTACAATATCGTTATAAAATGTTTTGAAAAATTTGTTGCTATTACAATTGGTTGTATGATAATTGGTATGGTTAGACAAATTAGTATAAATTTATATATTCATATATTGTTATACCAAGATTAACTAAATATGTTAATTATGTTTATCCATATAAAGCGTATACAGTATTGTATATAATAATAATTTATATAAATACAAGACTTGTTATAACATTGTTTATGTGCCTAAAAATCGCCGATAAATATATGGAAATTGATTACAAGTTGAGAGAGAGAGAGAGAGTACAGTACATACCAGCAAACGGCGAACACAATGACCACGAGTGCCAACATTAATATCCGGCGCCGTTTGGCCTCCGACTGTTGCCTCCGCCGTAAGTCACTACTAGTGGCCAACACCCGGCCCTGTCTCGACACCACGAACCCGATCTGTAGGTACACTACCTGTCAAATTGAAATGTGCAAAAAATTTGTTAAATATTTTATATATCAGGGAATTGCATATGTTCTGTCGTTCAAAAGTAGCATTATTTGTACCCGGATAATTTTAGTGTTTAGAATCGATATTTATGTTCATTATTGCTCAAAAATATTCATTCATTATTAATATTGATGTTTATGTTTACAAATCGTATGTAAATGTCTGTCCAACCGATGTCTGGCCACCCGTACGGCAACACATATTAAACATAGTTTTATGCAAATTTATAAAGAGCTTATTTGACGCGATTGATCGCCCGAAAAAATAAACACATTTACATTGTAAATTGTATGAGTGTACATCATTGACCACTATAGCTCAAATTGTGCCGCGCACTTGATTGTAGCCGTGGTGGTCACCCGATGTTTGGTCACTTATCGGGAGTGTTGAAACTGGTTCGGGACTCCGATGCCAAATATTTTGGCCCAGGATATGTTCATAGGGTAGGGATGCAGGGAATAGACTATTGAGGATCACTTAGAGATGTTTAAGTACGGCTAGCAATTAGATTAACGGTGTTTTTACATTATTTCAATGCTAAAAAATTCCCGAAAAAAGTAATTTTGAACATAAAAATGCAATTAAAGTTTAATAACGGGGGATATAAAATCTATACCCACACTGCTTTCAACCCTCATATATCCCCTACTGATTACCACAGATACCAATCATTTCTAATGTCTGTTAGAGAAATGGTGTTAAAAATGGCAGATGTCATCAAATCGGGGGTGTCTTCAGATTTTGGTCTTAAAATCCAGTTTAATCTTCAATTAGGAAATTGAAAAATTGGTGATACAATGGGGGATAATAGAGGATTATTGCAGTGAATAGACCGCTGATCAAAGTTTGTTATCTTAAGAATAAAATAGATTTGAATTTTATGACTTCCAAACGACATAACATATGCAATTTTCTAATATTAAGGTATGTTTACAAAAATTTTAAATTATGATTACAGATTAATTTACATAATAAACCTATTTTTATGCGACATTTGTTGCCTAATTGCCATTGTACGTGAAAACAATTAGGCTAGTAAGTATGCTGGAGTTTAATGTTTTTTATCTAGATTATATAATGCACAAAATGTTTTAATTTATTCTGCGAGTCCCCCACTATTGTAAAAGTCGTTTAATGTATTTTATTTTTATTTTATTATTGTTTTAGTTTTTATCGTAATTTTTTTGGTGTCATTTAATGTTTTACATGTGATATACGGAAACGATTTACGGTTTGATATATTGTTTTTGATATTTAATTTATTACTGGTGTTAGTATTGAATAGTATGAGGGCTTAACGTATATATACAGTATATATCGCCGGTATTTGTTGTATTATATTGGTTAAAATATTTGTTGTGAATGAAATACACTAGTGAATTGTGTACTAGATAAAATATATCTGATATGTCAGACCAAGTATATATTAGTCTGAATTACAGACACATTTGTTAACATATAAAATGTGTATAATATGTCTCTTTATATTGAGTATAAAAACAATCAAAAATGTCATAAAAATGATACAAAGGCTCAGAAATTATTGTAAGTTTTTGTTTTGACACAATTTATTCCCAACGTTTATCACGTGAATTAATCACAAAGTTATTTAATCTAGTTTTAATTAATAACACCTTAATTTTAATCAGTATATTATATAAATATTATATTAATTGTTTGATTAGACATCTGGCAAGGTCAAAAATATTTTATTTAGCACAATACATCGATTATAATCTTTACCAAGCAAAGTTATATATAACTTAATTCATTTAATAAGCTTATATAATTTTGTGATAAATTCTAGTACTGTATTATAGATTATATCAAATAACAAAGCGTTATATTATCACCAGAGTGATTTTAATCCCGATTACAGCTGCCATATGAATACAAATGCTAAACAAATAAAACGGTTTAATATTACATTGAAATCGTTGGCAATAATGGCTTTATAAGAAAATGTGTTCAAGGACATTTAATAATCTTGTTAAATTTAGTATAAAATTGAAAGACCATCATAGAATTATATAACTGAATTATATTTAACAACCTTGAACATTGCGAGATGCTTATATAATAATTGACAATATAGTTAGCAAGATAATTTAATTTAACATCTATTTTAATGCAATATACTTTAAAACACTTATAAAATATAGTGTTTTTATAATTATAACAGAATATAAATGCAGAATATATTGGAATCTCAATAACACAAGAATTTATAGTGAAATAAAAAACAGCAAAAAAGTTATAAATTGTTTTTACTTCCGATAGACTAGGAGTTAATGAAGTGTAAAATTTCTCTCTCTCTCTCTCTCTCTCTCTCTCTCTCTCTCTCAGACAATCAATATTTTATCGATAATATCCTAACCCTTACTATCCATACCATCCCTACTATTATACTAAATCATATACAAGTATATTCCTATGGAGT